CCTGGAGGTCACACTTTCATCCCACGCGAACCACAATCGCGATCAGCTCGTTTACGAACGCCACTGTCTATGGCTAGACCAATACCGGAAATGCCGCTGGCAACATTTTGGGTCGCGTATTATCACGGTATAATATCCCGCTCTACTGACTGATCTTCTGCGTCCCATGCCCTTTTCGCTTTCGTTCGCACGGCAGCTGGTCACACCAGTGGGTCACGCATGGTCGCAGCACATTGCTCGACATTGCTCCAGCATGCAGTTTCGTCGAGTACGGCTGAAACAGTGTCCCGGGGATCATGGCAAGCATACTCGTGATTCTAGCACTCATGTTCTCGGCAGGCATCCACGGCAGAGTTATCAACTCTGTGATAGTAGGTTGTAACCTTTTCTGAAGGCCAATTATTTCAAATTCGGCCGATGTTGCCTATGTACCTTTGCCGTGACCACATAGAAAACGGATCTGTCAAATAACATAAAGTGTGAGGCCATTATGATCAGGCCTCCCTTGATGTTATTTTCAAAAGTAAGCCTTCACACTGTGAAAAATACTCGTTAGTTTGCAGGAAAATTTTCCTGAATATAAGTCCGTAAAATTACATCTTGAAGTTGTAAAATTACAATCACTTCCTATCGACTTGGAATTAATCGAGGAGCAAAAATTAGTCCGCTGTAAATTTACAACATTGTTTGTAATTCAAAATTAGAAGAAATGTCGTAACTTTACGAGGAAATTTTTCACACGGCAATGCGACGGTTTTCCTAACTACAAGCAGGTTTCCATTTCATATTTGTGATAGGGCCCTTACATTGCTTACGCGGAGCGCTTTTACATGTGTGAACCCGACAACCGCCCGCTTCCCTGGAGATGGTGGGTGCGTGCCACCCACTTCAACCCTCTGAAACCAAAGGCGTTGCAGCGACTGACGGGCAATGTGACGTCTACAAGTGGCATTTTTGGGGACAACGAATGGGTAAGATGTTGCAAATAGAAGTAGGTAACATTCAAGCATCACGGGAAAAAAATAGTCGCTCTGCCAGCTAATATTATCTATACGGATGTATACATTTGTTGGTATTCGGACAGATAACCTAATAATAAGTTTCTAGAAACTACATGAACTGTTTTAACCGATTCTTGACTGTAGTAGTCGAATATTGACTCTGAGAGACAATATGGTACTACCATCTGCATATTACGTACTTACGTACGATGTCATCTAACAGGCGAAAACAATTGTCGATGTTCGGTCAAACAACCAGTGGAAGGAAAACGCATTTGTCTTTAAATTTAACAACAAGGCATGCCAAACTCTTAAAGTAAATATTCCTGGATTTTACGAGGTGGTTTTAAAGAAGAGAGAAGTTAAAGGCGCGTGCATGTTTAAAGCTGTAAGTAATTTGACCCGATGCCTAATATCATCACTCTGTTACGTATGTACTTCTTTTTGTGTCATCTTCAGCTTGGATGGTGAAAATTGTTGCTGCTTCATAGTTCAAACACAAGAGTATTATAACTGTGAGGTCCGTTATGATTTTTATTAACAGGGAGTTTACGAGTTCAATGATGCCCCAATTGACTGGACTTGTCCAAATGTTCCTATCATGCCTTATGGACATTATAGGGTCAGAATTATGATTGGTAAAGCGGAAACTCTATACGTATGCTGGGTAATAGAAGCGAAGGCTATTCCGAAGCTCAATTAGCACTTCAATCTTTATGGTTAGTACCCGATATATCTCACAGCTGTGGCCCAAATATGTGGTTTAAACAGAGGCCTGGCGCGAACAATGTATCGTTTGATTTATTACTGAAAATACCCTTACTGCAGGCTACAGGTATAGCTCATAGTTTTCCCACGGTTGGAAATTTCAGAAAACTTTTCGAAAATTTTCATTCTTTTTCCAAAAAAAATTCTGGAAATTTTCCAGCACTTCCAACCCCACCCCACTCCACCTTGCGCATCAGGTGCCCCACCATACCCCGGGACAATACACTTCAACCATAATTATTGGTAGTTTTTAAGACCACGGCAATGCGTAGATTTATACATTTTGACAATGCTATATGGTTCGTCGGTGCAATGAATCGCAATAAAATAAAGCTTAATTTTTCATACAGAGCGCACGCCCGATTTGAAGCACATCAAGTATAATGCTTCTTTTTCTTTCTTTTTCGTTTCAACAGAGAAGGCATGCCGTATACACCATGAGGGTGAAAAAAAACTATCAGTGAGCGCAGGCAGACGACGACGCTCCTTCGAGCAGTATATACCTTCTCGAGTACAGCGACTTTAATGGGACGTGCTGAATTATAATATCAGCTCGCTGCGTGATGAACGAGCCGTTCGGAGGGGAAGGGAGGGCGCAGGGGGAAGGGACGGCAAATGGGGTAAGAGAATAAGAGGGGGGTGGGTGAAAAAAATTAAAGGAATAAAAACCAGGGGTGGACCCACCATTTCCTGAATTCTTGCGATTCGGTCGGCACCGCTGGATTTTGTGTCTTTTATCAAAGCGGATTATGATGATCGAATTTTTTGCATACTTTTACTGCGCTTATTTCAACATTTTTAAGCATTTCTTTGGGAAAAACTATAGCATTTTTGTGCACAAACTCGGATGAACCGCAGGTTCAAGTTAACATTTAGCGTTTAACGTGTAGGTGTGCAACTTTCTACTTCGCTCGTTGAAAAAACAAAACAAACAAAAAAACACCTGTTTTATTCTACTGCTATACAAGGGGTTGTGTTCATTGGATTTCCATGTAGAGGGGGGGGGGGCGGACGACGCGGGAGGGTGAGTGCGAGTCTCTGAGCAAAACGGCAAACAAACGACACACAAAACGGGAAGCGTATAAAAGGGTGGTAGTGGCGGGCAGGGCAGCAGCAGCAGCAGCAGACTGGGGCGCGGGACAGATCGACGGACGAGCACACGGCGGACCGACTGTCTGACAGACGGGGGGGTGAAGGGAGAGGAGGGGAGGAGGAGAGGGGGAGGAGGGAGGAGGGAGGAGGGGAGGAGAGGGGAAGGGAGGGGTGCGCGCGGCGTTCACAGTAAATAAAACACGTAGCGGGCCGAGGCTGTGCCGCACACACTCTGACCCCCGGATCTATGAATTCACTAACGAGACAGTCACTTTTATTTCAATATTCCTCTGCTCCTCCGGCCGAGCGGGGGGATCCCTACCCGCTCCCTCCCCCCCCCTTTTCCTTCTCTCTCTCTCTCTCTCTCTCTCTCTCTCTCTCTCTCTCTCCCTCCCTCTCTCTCTCTATCTCTCTCTCTCTCTCCCCGCTCTCGGCCTGCTGGCCGCATGCTGGGGAAATGATGCGGAATGACCGGTCATAAACTGGCCGTGTCGCGAAGCGTCATGCGGCAGAAGGGAGGGGGAGCAGGTTCGTCCCCTCTACTCCCCCTCCCCTTCTCCCCTTCCCCTCCTCCCCTCCGCTCCCCTCCCCCAGGATCACGCCTGTTCACCAAGCAGTGAGGCGGCCAGGGTGAGCACCACACACGACTGTCTCGCGCAACCCCTTTTCTCCATCCCTTTCTTAGTCTCCCCCCACACACACAACGCAAAAGGAAACAATTATTGGGGATCGCTTTACATCATTTTTTTTTACCAACAAGTCACGTGCACTTATTACCGATAGGTATAGTACCGACACGTTGACAGCACTGCGAAAGCCCCAACTGGGGTGGGTGTGGGTGTTTCGAATCAACATTAAATTGTTTTTGTCAGTCCAAAAATGTTCGAATTGAAATCAAACCCAGCGATTCATCATTCCATATTTCGTGCAATTCAGGATATCAGGAAAATTGACTACATTTTTTAAATATTGATTCTGATGTATCTTTGAACTTTGGAAGCGAAGCATTTTTGTATGCATTGAATAAACATGAAGAAATTGACCTAAGTAATATGTTCGCAAAGAGTCACATAACTCGTTCTTTACAACCTTTTCCTAGTTCCGTGGTGCATTTAATCATGATGTTACTTATATATACAATGTGCGCTAGATTTACAGCTGGTTTTCGTAACTGGTGTAACAAGAGATTCCGCTAATAACTTTGTTTCGATCTCGCCAGCGCGGGCTCGCGGTTCCTCCTCCTGGCTTGTTCCCAGAGCCCCGGACCTTCCCCAACACCAGCCCACCACCCAGCCCTCTCGGTCCCCGCGGTGCTGTAAAGGCTGCCCGCTCTTCCTCCGCGGCCGGGGAGCAAGCTCTTTGCGTGTCGACGTGATGTCAGTCTTCTGCTCGAGAAGAGTTGCTCCGGCAGCAGGCCAACAAGACCGCCGACTACTACACTCTAAAAAAAATCAGTATAGAATTCTGTAAATTGTTACGCAGTAATTTACATATCCTATGATACAAA